ATGAGTGTGAATACTCCCACAGAACATCATTCAAAAGATAAGGACATCTCCTGTAGCCATTTTTGCTATGATGACTACGGAAGCTTTGATGACCACTGAAGCACCTGCTCACATTGGCTGTCTATTTTCTAAAGCTGGACCTCCTGGCTGTCCTGTAAGAGCGGTTTACCTGTTAATTAGGTGTCACTGTGGTGACAAGTAATCAGAAGAGAACATCTACACCTACAATGAAGTGCTTAATGACAGGCTTTCTTTTGTCATTCAAAAAATAAAACAGAGAAATATACTGTACTTTTGTTTTGTGGCATCACCCCTTTTAAGTGCTAACAAATAGTAGCCTGAGGACCATTATTTTGACAAAATGGTCTAAAAATATATCTGGTATATCTACATAATTACATTTTAATACACAAAGTTTACACAATGAACTCTGTTGGAGAAACTAAATGACAAAAAATGTCACTTTGTTAAAACAGGCGTCAGCTTCCCAAATGTTTTACGAAAGAGATAAATTTACTGCAAAACAAATGAGCATGAAGCTGTTACGAATGTGTTGCAGTTAGAGACAGAGGCTGGGGGAGGATGATGGCAACAAAAGAGATGATGAGCCATTTGCAATGTGTCACCACCAGGTTGGTTGGCTGAAGTGCCCAATAAGCAAGCTAAATGAGGCCTTGACACTGCCCAAGTAACTATTTCTGACTTCCCCCAGCCCTTTGCTGGCAGTGCTAATGTAGGGAGGTCACCCAATACACTACTATAGTGCTGTTTAAAGGGACACTGGACTTAGATTGGGGTCATGACACAGCCCTGCAACAGCCTCAATCCTCCTTGAACGACACTAACAAAATACTTCACTGTAAAATAAGATGCTGAAGAAAGCATCCTTTAAACAGCAGCGCTGACACAAAGTTAAAAACAGAGTAAATATACTGGGTGACCAGTTTATTGGGGTTTCTTAGTTAGATTTATTGCAAAATACAGTAATATAATGTAATATAATCAATGTCTGTTACCTTTAAAAAACAAAAAAAACCCACATCTTTCAATCATCTGCTTGACATGTTGATTGACATGTTGATATGCTGCTATTAGTAGCTTAAGTAAAGACAGGTGCTTTAACTGAGCTACAGTATATGAAAAAAAAACTGCAACCTGGAGTTTATTTTAGGCTTCATGAATTCTTTGTTCTTCCATTTTACCTACAAAGAGTGTGCTGAGCAGAAGTGGGAAGTAACAAAGTATAACTACTTAGGTGTCTGTACTTTACTTGAGCATTTATTTTTCTGACAACTTTTTATTTTCACTCTCTACATTTTTATACAAATATCTGTATCTTCTACTTCTTACATTTCCAAATTGAATTTGTTATTTTGGGTTTCCACAAATTTGAGGGAAGTTTTTATTTCTTAGCACTGTTCGCCTTCCAAATAAAGCGAACAATGATGCATAAAAGACAATGCTACTTGTGCATCCAGTGCAATTTATAATTTCTGCATAATCTGTAGCAGATGTTCATAAGGCATGGTCTTGGTACTTTAGCATCAAACTAGCATTACCAAAGAGGAGCGAGTATAAAGGGAATAATGGTTTTTTTTTGTGGCAAGTAATTCAAAATGCAATTTTTCTATCAGCTCACCAAATATCGGCAACCACATAAGGTACAGTTGCTAGGTTTATCAAAACAGATACCAAGCGTCTTGTCTGGAGGAAACTAAGCAACAGTCGTCACTTGGGCAATGCCATACCTACAGTAAAGCATGGTGGTGGTAGCATTATGTGTGGGGGCATTTTTCAGCAGTAAGAACTGTGAGATCAGTTCCAGAGAGCTCTAGAGAGCCTGTATCTCAAACCAAGGCAAAGGTTTATCTTCCAACAGAACAGTGACACTAAGCACACAGCGAAGTTCATAAAGAGATGGCTTTGGGACCACTCTGAATGCCCTTGAGTGGCCCAGCCAGAGCTCAAATTTAACCTAAGTGAACATCTCTGGACAGATCTGAAAATGGCTGCACATCAATGCTCCCCAACCCACCTGATGGAGCCTAAACTTCCCAGAAATAGGTGTATATAAATAATGATGATGATGATGATGATGATGATGATGTATATAAATAGGCGCAAAAAGACTTGAGGCTACAGTAACTGCCTAAGGTGCTTGACTATAAATAATGAATTATGACAAACATATTAATATCATAATAGAATATGAATACGTAAAAGCATCAATGTCACTTTAAAGACAAATTTATTTTAAACTGGCTAACTAACAGGATCCAGATTGTCTTCAAAACTCATTCTCTCCCTGCTTAAGCCGCACTGTTATACTCCAGCCGGTACCGCTTAGAGGAGCAGGTGGTCGCAGCAGACAGCGAGCTGAGCCATTCTCAAGACTCACCCACTGCGTTGCTCACCCCTCCTCTGCCCTTTATCTTTCCAGGCATCCTTTTATTTCAAACCATCCATCCTTTCCGGCTCAGCTTTATCACTCCATCACTTCCTGCCTACTTTTCTCTCCTCTCTCTTCCTCCATCTGCATGCCCCCACAGATAGCAGCAGCCAAAGAGTCTGACATCGACCAGATGTACAGCAAGTGTCCCCACCCCCCACAGGTTCTTCTCTCTAAGCTGTTTCCTTGCATTCACCACAGCAAGTGATTGTAGTTGAATGTACTTGACAAGTCATAAGAATTTACTATAATGATCACTGTCCTTGTGTGTTTTCTGTGATTGCACATATGCACTGCAAGATATGACTACCTAAAGCAGAGAACCTAAAAAAAAAGTAAAAGACAGGCTGACGTGTAGGCCATCACTCTGACAGACAAGCTGCAGCACACTTGATAAAGAAACACATTCTAATTTGTATTAAAACAACCCCCAAAAAACAAAGTTTTTTTTTTTCAATTCTGCAACAAAAAGGGGAAATTTATTGACTTTCTCCTAATCCCTAAACAGATTAAATATGAATTAAAATCTTCTCTGGTTAAATTGTGACAGCCTTGGGAAAAACCTCATAGCTCAAAAAGATACCTGCAGTGAGTATGACATGACTAAATCCTTTCTGATTACCTTAAACACAAGGATTAGCTTCCAGAGGAAAAACAAAAATCCTCCCATAAGTATAAGTGACAGCGCTACACTTAGTGGGCAGAAGGACAGGAGTGAGATGCTGTAAAACAAGAATGAGGTGATTTCTCCATTCACTGGTGAAGAAAATGACTGTTCCATTTTCCCCTAGTCAAGCTGAACTTGTGGCATTAAATATATTTTGGTGTTTTTTTCCCAGTTCCTCAAGTTCTCTCTAGAAAAAGAATAAAATAAAAAATACATCTTTGCAGAATGAACTTTATGAAACAATTCAGCTACACCACATCTGCATCGTATGGAGATTTTTGGAGAAAAATGCACCAGTTCTTTTTTTTTATTTTTTTATAAACACTAAATTTATTCAGGAGATTATATGGATTTTATGTCTCCAAACACCAAAAGGTTATGTTTGCAGCTGTAAGAAGACAATGATTACTGTGGTTTACAGTAGGCAGGGTCTCCGTGCTGCACTGACTGATACAAATAAATAGAAAAAAATGGCATTATGGACAAAGTCACTATAAATAAGTAAAAACTAACAAATGATACATTTTAACAGCAAAAGGATCCAGATTTTTCTTTTTTTGGGTGGCAGGGTGGGGGGGAATGCTTACTTTTCAATCAATTCATAAGCTTTACTAAATAAAAGACTATAAAAGACTCAGTCTCAGAAGTCATGCTTTAAAATAGGTGATAACAGGTATCAACCTTTACACCAAAACAGTACAAGGACACCAGCAGAGGAATGAGCCACAAAACAAAACAGTGTTGAAGAGATTTAGGTCTCAGCTGAAACTGATCATAGGCCAACAGAAATGGAGCAATATGCTAGCAAGAAGGTTAAGTGGAAGGCAACACTGCACTTTTAGAGTGAGGTGACCATAGGCAGTGTTTTCAAAGCCAGGCTTTATGTAAACATTATTCACGCTTGGGGTCTTGTATGTTCTGGCTGTAGGAACCAGGCCCTGTAGGAGGTTTTCTAGAGTTGTTTTTATGGGAGAAAAAAAACCTACCAATTCCAGGCCACGTCTTAGTGTGCCATGAACCTATGCCCAAAGGGCTTGGTTAAACTGCTGCAATCAGTGGTGGTGGAAACCTATTCCATCCTCCCTTGGGTCACAATGGAAACAATGTCTAAAAGGCTTGATTAGTGGGGAGTTTCTGTGAACTCCCAACCTCACACATGCGCCAGCTACAGCATTGGAAAGGTTCCTCCTGGATTTTTTTCCACCTTTTTTTCCTCTTAGTAGCTGTACTCAATTCCACGTTCAAGGTTATCAAACACCCGTAGTGCAAACATGCAGTGACACAAAATGTCTCAAAATTATAGAAAATGAGATCCTTGTAGCACCTTACTGCACAGTGTAAGCTCACTTTATCGACCTGCTGAACGATTTGAAACAACAAATGATTTGGGTATATTTTGGGCAAATCAGGAGGTGATTAGGGGTAAGAAATTTGTGCAGTTAAACAAAGCAATGCATTTGCAGTGATGGTGAATTATGCCGGGAGATCACAAATCATAAATTGAGGGAAAACATTTCTATATCGTTATGCAGGAAATATTATTCCACTACAGAAACAAAAGAAAAGTCCCAACATGAAGCCAAAGATGACCAAAAAAGGAATAAAATAATACTCATTTAGTTTAATTTTAGTTTTTTTAAATTTATGTGCATGATACATCAGTAAAGTATCATAGGCACTTTTGCAATATGCAGTCATTTATGATCGAAGTTTCTCTGATAATTTCCCTTAAGTCAATGTAACCTTTGTACAAGGTTGTGACAGTTTTGAAAACATGCAAAGCTGAAAGACTTGATACAATTGACAACATAAGTTGTACTAAGAACACCAAAGCATTTTACAGTTGTTATTCATGCTTAGGCAATGCTTAAACATCAGACTTACCAGCAGTGAAGTCCTTGTTGAGGTCAATGAAAGCATTGGAGTGAGGCATACGCATGGCGCCAGTTAAACTCAGTGCTTTGCTGCACACTTCAGTCCTAAGAGAAGCCAAAGTTATAAAACAACCAAAGAATTTAGACACACCACAGAATTGAACTTCAGGTGTAACAGCACTAGAAATAAAGATAGAAAACTCTTAGTTTGGAAACTTTTCCATTACCTTTTGGTGAGATAGCAGACTACACTGGAGGAAGAGCTGATGACTCCAAAAACATCTGGAATCATGTCCCCATTAAAACTGAAAAGATTGTTTTTCTTTTAATGAAAACAAGACTTCAGGAGAGACGGAGATCACCAAAGTAGTCATTTTGAAGGACTTCAATGATGAGGGAGGTAAAACATGAGGTAATGGTTGCTAATATATTGGAAAAGTTAGATAAGATTTATTATTCAAAACTAAGACAAAAAAAACTCTGTAAAAACCAAGTTTGACTAAAAATGCACAAATGGAGCCAAAAATCGAAATCAGGCAAATTATTTAAAATTCAAAGCAATTCATGTCAATTTACACTGATACTTACTCCATGACAAGAGGTTGATCACTAAAGGTGTGATTCAGCTTAATCCCCCCTCCAATATCTATACAAAATGAAGAAGGTAAAAAGGCCTTGAGTATTAATGGTTTGACAAGAACACAGAACAGAAATCAGTGGTTTTGCTTAACTGAAGTCAACAGCTACAAATTGCTAAAAATAGCTAAAGCTTGAAATATTCATTATGCAATGGTTTTTCTTGTATATATATTCTGCCTGTAGTTCAATAAAAAAGGAATCCCTAAACAGAAAATATACACATAAAAAAGAAACAAATCTGAATAATCAGGTGATGAGCTTCTACTGGCATTGTATATTAAGCAAAAGTTGGTAACATGTGGAAAATGAGGTATCATTTTTATTGATCTAGTTAATGTTTATTGTTTTGGACTGAATGGTGATAGCCTATAAAAGAAAAAAGGACAGCAGTTGCTAATAAAATTAACAATGTGTCTTTTAAATTACGGTTTCCCAGTGAGTCATGATATTGTGGCAGTGACCCTCCAAAAGGTCCTAAAACATCTATGCTTTCTTCACTGTAAATTACTGCAATACCAACTCTAAAACAGCAAATGGAAAGTTTGGCGGGCAATGTACACATTTTGTGATTTATGTTACATCATGTGTTGCAGCAATGATTGATTCACTAAGAATTACTGCATTGCAATAATATGCCTCCATCAACTTGTAATATAAGCAGTAAAATCTGTGGGGAAATTAATATGTGTGGATACAAAGTTTAGTATCACCAATGACAAATCTGAGCAAATGCATAATCTTGACAATGTTTTGCTTCTGTTGTAACAAGTGGATAGAGAGGCCAAGACTTTCTGTTCTCTCTACCAACCATTGTTTACAAATGCAATTTAAAAAAAATTAAAGTATCATCAGAGAGTAGAAACGGTTTTTGAGTTTCCATTTCAGCAAGCATTGATGGTTGTCGATCTCTATGTGTTAGTCCTGGGAGAGACTCGCGACTTGTCCAGGGTATGGCTTTTTCCTGTGACGGCAGGGCAGCATTTGTAAATAAATCACTATTAGAGCTGTACCTAATGTCTGGTTGTGCCCCCAAAAGATGAAAACTTCTGTTTCCTGGCCATTCTTAGCTGTGAGAAGGACATCCATCTGAGAGTCTCCATCATAATCTCCGGGAACCACGCTGGTGATGTTTCTGAAACAGCAAGAAAAGTACTGAGTAAACATAATGCTGAAATGCGAGTAAGTTCAGTTTGTCAGCACTGAACATACTTACAATCATAAATTAAGACCAGTGCCATAATAAAGCTAATGGAGTGAAATAACAAACACATATGCATACTTTCCCAAAATGTTTTTGGCTTGAACTTTGGGCTTGAAGTAAGGTGGTTTGGAGTCAGCCAAGAATATGACCAAATCAGTCTCTGAAACAAAAAGAAGACAATATAAAGACTTTTATTTAAGTATATATTTTTCACAAGTCATTCTGAAATGTCATTGCAGAGAAAACACAGGTGCATTTAATAAAAATACAGCAAGACCAGGCTAATTGTCGTCCAGAGGTGGACTTCCCCCCCTCTGGCTGCTATGAGACGTTTAAACTTCGGTTTTAAAAATAAAGAAGCAAACCAAAGCTACATTGTAGCTCAATGTGTAGGTAAAAACGCATTTTATATACATTAATACATGTCAAATTACATTTTATATTAAATTGATTACATTTAGTGTTTCAACTCAATATACATAATTTGTGCAAACTGTTAATAAGAAGCCTTACTGACTGTTTGCTGTGTGAAGTGTGGATGAGTAAACCTACGTTCTTTGATCGTGAAGATGTCTGTCTGTTTATCCGAATTAAAATCTCCGAAAGCTGCCACCGTCCCATAATTCCCGGGACCGAAAAGGTCGGCCGTTACATCTTGAAGAGCAAATGTGTTATACTGTCCCCCCAAAAGTAACAAAAACGCTAAAGTAATTAATTTAAGCGTCCAAATCATCTTCCTGTCAGTGTAGCTCCCAACAACAACACTGACTGTAATACGGCGCACTGCTTTACAGCAGAAGGAAATGGTAGCTGCTTTTTAAGTAATTACACATAACATTTAACGGCGTTAAGCATATGTCGTGCTTTTTTATTTCTAGTGGGAAAAGCTGCAAGTAACGTTTAGAAATAAAGATAAATAATATGACATTAGAATTTCCTTATTTACGTCAGTGTCGTGCTCCCCGAGCTATTTCACAGCTATCAAGTCACTGAGAGTTACTTAGAAACAAACCGGAAACGGAAAGAAATTGTGTTCTTAATAAATATGAGACACATATTAACTATCGAAATGAGTGCGTTAATAAAAATAAATTCAATATCTTAACACGCAGAAGATAATTTGTGGAAACACTCGGGCTTTATTTACCGGTAAGCCACGGCAGAATTTAGCCTTATGATTTCTTACCCTATGCTGAGAAGCCCGATTCGCGTTTTATTTTGAAAGAAGCTACCGGATACACCTTAGCTTTGTAGCTATTTTAACATTTTCATAAACATGGCGAGCTTAGCAGATGTCGGGTGGAAGCTCTTGGAATTTAAAGCCCGATCAAAGCGATCAGGTCTGACATAACTTTGCATGATCTTCTGCATTGTGACACGCCCGCTTTTTCTGTTGTGCTTGCAGTGCCTCTGTACGTAGTGCCTCTGTTCTGCCCGTTTTAATGTGTCTACTGCACTGTTGGTAGAAGCATGAAAGGTCAGAGGTGTAAATGTGAAGCACTCAAGAGCTATTTTAAGAGCTTCTCATCAGGTCGCTGTGAGATCTCGCCCATAGTAAAACTGTGCTGCTGTATATTACTGTGTTAAACTGTGTTCCTGAAGGACTGTGCGGGCCTGTGAAAGCTGACACATTATGCTACTCTTGCGCTGGGGGAATGTGTCGGATATTGCACAAACGTTACCTAAACTCTTAACTGTCGCCAGCTGTAAGAAGCCAACCATTTTAAGAACTGCTGATAACCATCTACTTTAAAAGAGATCTTGGTGTGAAATTATGATTTAACAAGAGGTGTATCCCAGTGTAGCCTAATAACGCAGCATTCTGAAAGCATACCATTTATGTTATGAAGAATAAAGTGCAGTAATTAGTCAAATTATGTCCTAATATAGTGATGTAGTCATTTAAACCATGTATTGTCATCTTTCATTATAACTCTACTCTTCATCACTCATTTCTAAAGAAATACAATGGATTGTAATTTCTTGCATGTTCTTGATTATTGTCGTCATCCCAGGATGTAATTCGTTGTTGATTCATGCATGTCTAAAATTGTAACTCTCTGCTACTAACTCATTTACTGTGAATTGCTGTAGATTTGTGATTTAGCTGAGAGACGCTTGGCCTTAAATTCACCTTTTGAGAATGGCCGGTTCGGCTGCGATTACCAAGCTCCACCGGACAGTTTACAGACTCGGTAAGTAGTGACAGCAGATCTGAGGGAAACAGCTGAAGGGGACATAGGTGATGATATCTGGACTCTAGACCATATACTTATTTCACGATTACAGGAAAACATATGTTGTGAATGTGATCATCCTATTCCTTCAAACAGCAACCCAGAAAAGTTCAGGTCAGAACATTTTTTTCCGTGTTTACAAGAAAAGAAAACCATCTCATGCTTGGACTGTTGGGAATTCTGACGTGCAAAGTAGAGTATTACCCATAATCTTCTGTAATTTCACACTGTTGATACAGTGTGGCTTATGTGGATTAAACTCAGAAGAATTATATTGCTCCTCCACAGTAAGCATGAAAGATCCTGATATGGCACAAAATGAATTTACAGTATTAATGAAGTCACTGAAGTTAGTCAGGGGATTGTTTAAAACCAAGCAAACAGTGACAGCTTACATTTGTCTGATCTCATGTTAGAAATTAAAATTGGAACATTGTACTTCCTCCATGCCTGTTTAAAGTGTTATCTTTAAAAAGAGATGGATTGGCTTTGTCCCCAGCAACTTTTATGCTGATGGAAATTATGCTAATTTCAGTAAGAATGTGAATTTTTCAGTACCTGTGGTACTGACCCAAGGTCAAACCTATTAAAATGCAAATCTCAGCAAAGTGAAAAGTGTCTGAAAATGGAGAAAGTCTAACAAATTGGGGCTTCCCTCAAACTGCTACTCTCTCTCAGTTCAGAGGAAAATGTCTGCTCACGAGTCGCAGCTACTTTCTGAATGTTTAGCTCAGGGCTTGAATATCATTTTGTGTGCTGAGACTTTTGTGAGTCTCAGCACAGATGTGTTGCAGTGAAAAACAGAATGTACTGATAGCATGTGTGTATTGTTTCTGTGTTTTGTCTGCTGCCTGTTCTTGTGTCCCAAGCTGACAAAAGCCGTGGCCAGAGCATTATCCATTCAGGTTGTCTTTGTGTACATACAAAGGTTTGTCCAATAGATATGACAAGTCATAATCTCTCTAAAGATAAACAGAGTTTGGTGGCCAAAGGTCAAACTCACTTTGACCACTCAAGATATGCCTCAAGACATTATGTGCTAATTCTTACAGTCAGATAGAAAATGTCAACACTTCTTTATTCTATCCAAAAGTTCAAAGGTCAGCTTTACTGTGATATCACAATGTTTGCAAAAACACTTTTTGTCCATTGTGCCGTAACATGGAAAAAGACATGGGGATTTAGGCGTTATTTCATAATTCGGTCTCTACCTTTTTAATTTCTGCATAAATTAATGGCTGTCAGAAGTCTCTTCCTGTTAAAATGGAGTTTTTCCTTCCCACCATCGCAAAATGCCACTTATAGGATGTTGTTTGATTGTCGGGGTTTTCTCCAGAATACTGTAGGGTCTTTATCTTATATTAAAAAGTCCTTTGAAACAACTGTTGTTGTTATTTTTGGCTATAGAAATAAACTTGAATTGAATTGAGATGAAATCTATATTACTGTATAGATCAATGTAAACATCAGCTTTAGTTTGATGGATACATACAACCGCAAGCCTACAATTTTAGTCTTCTTTTTTAACTGGAAACATCCAACAAAAAATAAATGTATTCTGAAACTGTTGCTAAACTTAAACCTCTAAAGAACATCAGTTTTGGGAATGCTATTGAAGGACTGTGTTTGCAAGTGTTTGTGTTTAATATGTATATTCTTCTTCAGGCTCCATCTATGAACCTCTGAAGCTGTCAAATCTCCAGCGGGAAGATGAACCCCTCTGGGAGAAGCTGGACCGCTACTACAGTGCAGGTAAATACATTTGCTCACTCTTTGGAAGCTGCGGATTAATAATGTAAAGATGTGTAGAAGAAATGGCAATCAGAGGAGTTTGCAGGCATTTTGGTACTTTTATGGAGGAGTCTGATCATTCACGTGTAATATTTTTCCCCTGATGTAATTGTATTAATTTCCACTCAATTTCTGCCATGTCATTAAACATAAGAGAAACTAGTCCCTGTTATTCCGTATTACAGGAACATTAGATCACTAATTTCCCATAGTAATTCCAACATCATCAAGTTTATGAGTCTTTGACACCCACATAATCTACACAGTATCTCAGTGGTTTGACTTCATCTTTTATGTTCTCTCACTGTATAACTGCAGTGCACAGTGCACAGCTTTTAATATTTTAAAACTGCGCAGAAAAAGTTTCTACATTGTCTTAGATCAGAGGTTCCCAAAGTGTGGGGCCCGCCCATTGCAGGGGGGGCGCGGTATGAAAAGAAAAAAAAAAGGAACGCTTTGGACACTGCTAGCATAATGGACAGGTTTTTAACGGGGCTCCCACACAAACGCAAAGCAGGAGATGAAGCATCGCCAAATATGCTTCCTAACATATTTGAAGCATATCTGCCCTTTAGCTTCACCTGCACCAGTGCCGAGGTAGCTCTCCCCTGCAGAATTGGTTTTCCCTGCGTCGGGAGGATCCGCTGGGCTCTCCAAATCACGGACAAACAGTATCCTACATTCTTGATTTTTTTAGTTCACAAACACTTGCTGTAATGACTAACTACTCCTGACATTTTGGAGATGTTAGCTCTTTATACAGTAAAGTTACAGCGGGATACAAATGACATCAGCCTGATCCTGCCATGATTTGTTCCCCGGTTCAAATCACAGACAAACAGTGTCCCACAGTTTTTTTGTGTTTTTGAACCCATTTTGCACAAAGAGGCATTTTTTGAAAAAATGTTTTGATAGCAATGTTGAATATTATTACACAGGAAACAACAGAAACAACAAGTAAAATAATCACACCGTGACGCCTCTGCCTTTCTAAATAGAGGGACAGTAACTGCGTGGGTATATGTAAGTGTGTAAAACCTGCAGATAGTCAGATTAACAGTAACAGTATTTTGTCTCTATCTGCCATTCTGCAATTCATCTCATGTAAACAATTACATGGCGCACAGCGTGACGTGAAAAAAGGCACATACCTTTGACGTTGCGTGATGAACTCTGTATTCCTCGTCCACACGTAAACGCAGAAAAGGAGTTTTAACAAATCTCAGTTTTCTGTGATTCGATTACATGTGGAGGAAAGGCCCAAACGCATAGAAACAGCTGCGTTTTCAAAAATACCCATGTAGGTGTGGACACAGCGTAACAGAGTTAGTAGTGGATTTTACTACTACCTGTAATTTATTGCAGTTTACTTGTATTTGCTTAATTGTTTACTAAATGTTTGAGGTGTGAAATAAAGCGCAATGGAGTTTGGAAACAATATGGGTGTGTGTGGTTGGAGGATGTGTTTGTGCGAGGGGGTGGGGGGTTAGGTGATGGGGGGGCGCAAACATTTTTCTTGTAAAACAAAGAGGGCCCAGCAAAAAAAAAAAAAGTTTGGGGACCACTGTCTTAGATAATGCCTTTCACTGTTTCTGTAATCTCAACAGAGCATCAGGTTGCATGTGTTAAGGCATGATCATGATGGAATTTAAACATAATCTCTCTAACCTCAGCTTTAACAGTCTCCAACCAACAACAGTGCTTTCAGTGTGTAGCTCCCCTGTTAAATGTCACAGAAGATGATGTAGAAAGTTCCAAAATACCTGGAAAGAAAGGTTTTATAGCCTAGGCATTCTTTTTATATATTATCCAAAATGTGTCCTCATCTCTGTCTTGTGTACCTGTTTCAAACTATATTTTCCTAATTTACAAGGTGTCATATATTCGTCTGAGTTTT